AAATTCAAAAATTGTAAACTTATTATAAATTTATGAAGATATTATGTAAAGTTACTGGGAGTCCATGTTTTTGACAATAATAATATAAAAAACATTATAGGCTTATATTATTATGGAATATAAAATTGTTGAAAAGTTGAAACGATCCAAATGTAGGTGTACAAAACCCTCTTGTATATTTAAAGAAAATTATTTTTATATCAGTCAAAACTTCATCATACATATGCAAATATCCTAAACTTATCTTTGAGTATTCTTCAGCATAATGACGAAATACAATCTTCAAAAAAAAAAAATAATAAATTAAGATAACCATCCAGTGCGTTGCGAAACATGACTTTAAACCTCTATATCCCAGATTTTAAAAACTGGTTTAATGTTCTTTTTTTATTAATTCCTTGGGTTTTTTCTTTGATAATGTTAATGGTTTCTATTTTATGAATAAAAATTTTTAAAGGATATGTTTATGGAGAAAATGAAAGGATCGGAAGTGAAAAATTTGATATTAATATTTGAAAAAAACAGGTAAAGGTATATATATTTTTTGATCTCAATTCTCGTTTGATTATCATTAAAAATGTTGTATGAAAATACGACCTTTAGATAGAGATCAATTATACATTTGGTGATAATTTTTACAAGATCACTGCAGTAAAAAATACTCTTGGTTCACACCTATAATCCTACTTGTAGTAATATAGTACACGAACAATATAATCTCAAGAATAATTGATAAAACATTGATTTTTAATCAATAGGTTGTATTGGTCTTTGACCTTTGTGAACAAAAAAATTTATAATTATTATTGTCAACGACTAATTTTTGGGAGAGCAAATTCAATCAATGACAATAAAAATAAAGGATCAAACTGAATGGGGTATTTATTACCAGCAAGTAGTTTTGGGTGTGGCTTGATTATTTTCAAGCCAAAACTTGTTATTTTTCTTTTATTCAAGAAAGAAAAGTTTTTGTTAAAATACATGGACTCGACTTGTTTATTATATACTCTATTGGACTGCTTACTCGACTTTGTTGACCAATACAAATTAAGCGCATATGTCAAAATACAATGCAACAAATATTAATAATAAATAAGATAATGCAAGAAGAGGGTAACAAACATCATTACTAATACTAAAAGTGTCGCAAAATTCAAACAAAATTGGCGACTCGGAAACTTTATTTGTCAAACTCAAAAAGGGTGATTTTAATAAAGGCTCGAATCTCGATTTCGATTTCGATTTCGATTTTAGTTGAAAGCTTTAAGATTGACGCAAAAGAAATTAATTGTAAACCAAGCATAACAAGTGGATTGATGACGTGTGAGTTAAATATTCACAATTTTATGTTTAAAGTTATGGATACAAAACAAAATAAAATGTATAATAAATAAATAATAATAAAATTCATGATTGTTTTTATTTTTATAACATACTGGGTTGTTAAATGGCGGTCTTGGATATCCGTGGATCGCATCACTAATAACAAGTAGAATATGGCATGTTGTTTGTTAATTGGTAAATATGAGTTTAATGATGAACAGTTTCAAAGATAGTAACAGCATTGTAATACATGATGTTGGAATGTTCTCCTTCAACTTCTTTCTAGTTGGTTGGAATAAATGATGTTTATCCGTTTGCCATCTCAACATTACTTGCCACTGGTTGATAATTTGTATGGGATCGTCCAATCAAAATAAAAAAAAATTTGGTCACATGAAATTGAATTCCTTTACCATATTTATTACATATATAAAATTATGAGTCGTGGTAAGGAACTCTTTTTGAATTGTTGATGATTATAATAGCGCCAGCAAATTTGATCTTTTTATTATTGAAAATCCTTAGGTTCATCAGCAGGTTACGATCGTCACATTACAATTTTTTCACCAGAAGGAAGACTTTATCAAGTTGGTATGATAGGATGGATAGGATGCTGAAAAGTGTAAAAAAAAAGGAAAAAAGAAAAACCAAATTTAACTATATAGATGGCAATTATTGATTTCGACTGTTTTTTTTTATGTAAAATAGAATATGCCTTCAAAGCAATATCAAATTCTGGTATAACATCTGTAGGTGTTCGAGGAGATGACAGTGTAGTAATTGTAACACAAAAAAAAGTTCCTGTAAGTTATCAATCTACTTTTTTCTCTGGATATAAATATAAATATATTAATTTTAAAATAATTAAATAATTAATTAATGAATTAGGACAAGTTATTAGATCCATCAACTATTACACATGTTTTTCAATTAACACCATATGTTGGATGTGTTATGACAGGGTTGATCGGTAAATTTAGAATATTCAACATAATAATAATAATAATAATAATAAATTTCTTTATTTTAACGAATAAACTTAATTTATTATTGAAGCGGACGCACGTTCTCAAGTTACTCGTGCAAGACAAGAAGGTGCTGAATTTCGATACAAGTTCGGTTATGAGATCCCAACTGATATGCTCGCAAAACGTGTAGCCAATATCAACCAAGTATACACACAGCATGCTGCTATGAGACCATTGGGTGTTTGTATGTTGTTGTTTATTAAATATTATTTTTAAAAAAAACTTTGAAATATACATTTTATAATAATATATATATATTTCAGCAATGATCTTGATTGGATACGATGATGAGAAAGGTCCACAACTTTTCAAATGCGACCCAGCTGGTTATTATGTTGGATACAAAGCTACTGCAGCTGGAGCTAAACAGCAAGAATCTTTAAATCATTTGGAGAAAAAACTTAAAAAAGATCCTAAGTTGAATTATGAAGAAACTATAGAAGTATGTTTACATTACACGCACACACATATATATATTACAGATAAATATTGTTATTATTATATATTCAAATTAATTAATTACTAATTATATACGTATATAATATATATTATAGTTAGCAATTACTACACTTTCTACAGTACTATCTGCCGATTTTAAATCAACTGAAATTGAAGTTGGCGTTGTTACAAAAGATAATAAGAAATTTCGAACATTATCAGTTGATGAAATAGATAGTCATCTCCAACGTATTGTTGAAAAAGATTAAAAAATTTTTAATAATAATATTAACAATGATAATAAATAAAATGATAATATTGATATAGTCTAACTTTTATATTTTGATATAAATTCATCATGAAAACTTCCTTTATCTGATAATATGATGAAACTAGGAATACCATTCTTAACAATGTATTTGGGATGAGATAATGCCTCTTTTAGAATACATTTCTTTCCAATCTTAATTAATTTTGGTTTAGCATCCATTCCTCCACTATTTGATGGATCATATTCAAAATAAATTTGTAAATTATTTAATGATCTATATCTGCCATCAACGTCCCAGGGTGCAGGATTTTCAAAAATTACTTCTAAATGATCAAGAAATGTAGTATCTTCATTAAAAGCTGCAACAAAATCTGACTCTTTGTATTCTGGATATAAAAAAAAAACAGGCCATATTAATTGTTGTGATTCTGGATGAAGATGAACAGAATGTGGTGAGTCAGGAGCATTCGAAGTTGATTCCATTTGAATATCGCGAATCTTTTCAAAAATAATTAAAAGTATTATTATTTTGTAGTTGTTGCAGTTATCGATTGAAATAAAAAATAAAAAACCTTTATCGCCTTTTCCAATGCATTTTTTTCTTCTCTTTTTTTTAATTCCAATTCTAATTGTTTTCGTCGTTTCTCGTCCAAGACCTTCTTATGGTTTATACATTTTTCCTTCTCTTTTTGCATGGCAAGGTTATTTGGATCAATCTAATTTTTACTTTTGTTTATAAATTATTACACATACGTAAATGGCTAATAATATAAATGAATGATGAATGGCTAGCATGTACCAAAAGTGCATGATCACAACAATCCAAAGCCTCATCTAATTTATCAAGCATATATAAAGCTTTTGCAGATCGATAGAATGCTTTGATATTTTTAGGATTGATTTTTAATGCCTTCGCACAATCATTTAAAACTCTACGATAATTTTCTATAAACAGAATATATATATATTAATATTTTACTAGCCCACCAATAATGATCAATTATTGTTTATACTAACGTAATTCCAAATTGACAGCAGCTCTATTAGTTAAGCAAGCTTCAATTATTTTATTATCTTTGCAATCAGTATCCAATGCCTTAGTGTAAAAATTTATTGCATCTTGATAATGCGATTTGCCAGATTTGAAACATTCATTTCCTTGATTCTTAAAATTTTCTGCAATTTCTATTTCAACATTCAATAACGAGTATAAGGATGATTATGATGTTAAAATAATCAATTATCTAATAAATAAATAAATATACACCTTCTGGTGGTCCATCATAAATCAAAGATTGTAAAGCTGACAAAGTAGAATTTTCTTCTCTTTCATCCTCAGGCAGTTCAGTCATAAATAATGGAACTTTGTTGATTTCTTTGAAAAGATTCTCATCTTTGATTTTACCTAAACCTTCCTTAAATCTTGGTCTTTCTGGCATGTTGGGCATCTTTGATAAAAAAACAAATTTGTTTGAATAGATCATGTGATCCAACAAATATTTAATATATATAGTAATAGTGCAGAACATCTATAACGGTCAATGATTAAAGATTTCGGAATGATGATACAGAAAATCTTTCTAATAAAAGAAATTGGATTACTTAAATTGAAAAGATCTCCTAAAATTTTAAATTCCGGATTATGACATTTATAGATAACTTGAACCATATTAATATTAATTGAAATGGTCAAATTAAGAATAATTATTAAATATAAAACTAATTAAATCCTCTTTTTTTAAAAAACCTCTTTTACATATATATATATATAATACAATAACATAATGTCTAATTATAGCTCTTCATCAAAGAGAAAATTAGGAGATAGAACCCCTCAGGAATCTAGAAAAATACCCAAGCATACCGACTTTGTTTCATCAAATAGTCATGTTGTGGAAAGACATTATAACGAGAAACGAGAAGAAGGCAGAGAGAAAAGGATGGAATCAAAAATTTTACGTTTAAGAAATTTTAATAATTGGTTAAAAAGTGTATTGATAGGCAAACATATGGCAGCTGGAAATACTGTACTTGATATAGGTTGTGGAAAAGGAGGAGATCTGAATAAATGGGATAAAGCAGAAATTCATAAATATTATGGTTTTGGTGAGTTGTAAAATTTAACAATAAACTTAATAGTTATTACATTATCTATATTTCCACTTAATTGACAAGTAAATGATAATTTATCTAAAAGATCTTGCACAGAAATCAATTGAAGATGCAAAAAAACGTTGGGAGGTGTTAAGTCAAAGTATTGGATTTTTGTTGTATTTCCTGTGCATCATCATATATTTTTAAAATTGGACTGATTTCATAATGTTTCAATTGTTTAGGAGGATCCAAGATCAAACAAGCAGAATTTTATGTTTTAGATTGTTTTTCAGTAAATATTAAATTGATAAAGATAAATGATATTATTATCATAATAATTAATTTATTAAATTATATATTGATTTAATTAATTAATTATATTAGAAACCAATAACAGATATAATTTCAGATGAAATTAAATTCGATATTGTTAGCATGCAATTTTGTCTTCATTATTCATTTGAATCTGAAGAAAAAGTACGCATGGCCTTAAAAAATGTCACTTCTGGTTTGAAAATAGGAGGTTACTTTATTGGAACAGTACCTAATGCCTATCGGATCGTGTAAGATTTCATATATTATTTATTAACATATTTATTTATCTAAATCTAATTATTAATCTAAATTTTTTTCACCACTAGAAAAATATTAAAAAGTTTGCCCGACAATGAATTAGAATTTGGAAATTCGATATATTCGATTAAATTTGAACAAAAAGAATCATATCCATTATATGGGAACAAATATTGGTTTAATCTTGAAGAATCAATTGATGATTGCCCAGAATATTTGGTTTATTTTCCTGTATTTGAAAAGTAATTAAAAAATGGATTTCTCCATGTTATAAATGTTTTAACAATACAAAAAATCAATTAATCATTAATAATATAATATAATTGTAGGTTGGCAAAAGAATATGGCCTCAAATTACTATATAAAAAAAGTTTTCATGATTTATATGAAGAAGAAAAAAAAAACGATAAATTTTATGACCTTTTATTTCAAATGCAAGTAATTGGGAAAAGACCAGATGATTCAAAAATGACAGATGATGAATGGGAGGCAATTGGTAATTTTAATAATTTAATAATTGATTGATGGATTTTTTAAAAAGTTTTTTAATTTAAACATTATTTAATCATTTCACTCGCAAATCCTCCAAAGGTATATATATAGGATTTGCATTTCAAAAAGTTCAATGATGATAATAATATTCAAATAATAGATGACTCTTATATATAATCTTATTTATTTTTCACGTTATATTATTTAATTATTGCAGCAAATAAATTGATCATTAAAGTGTTCCAATAACCCAATAACAAGAACAATGTAAAAGAATTTTGATATAAAATAAATCTTGATTAATAAAAATAAAAAGAAATGAAACAATCCAATAGGAACATGAAAATAAGGTGCATATTTTTCAACAAACTAGTTAACATTAAAAGGAAAAAATTCATTCTTAAATTTTGATATATGTAATCACATTCTTTTTATGAAGCATATCAAACCATTATTAAAAGATAAAGTAAAAATACCATTAATGGTTAACAAAACATTATATGAATATATCGCAGAACCATTTAAATTTATTATAAACCTTGTATCTTTTCCTCCTTTTCCTCTAAATTGTAATATATTTTTTTTTGCCTCAAAGGATGATCTAGATCAAATATATTCATATACAGTTACGCCTGAAACTTGGACATTTACTACAACCTAATAATTTTTTTATAATATTATAAAAATAAACATTTGATCATAAACATAACAATTTCGAATATTAATATATTAATTGCATATCCAGCAGTCGTCTTCCTTGTTATGTATAAGATTTCAATTCTTTTGGAGCTTGGGTCTTCGCTGGATTAGCTGGTGATGATTGAGCAGCTGGAGCAAACGACGTAGTTCCAGGGGCTACTTGTTCAACCAAAGGAATTTGTAAGCTTGTCAATTGTTTTGTAAAATCAACTGTTATACTCGCTTGATATGATGACAATTATTCTGAAATTTTGTCCATGACGACGATTAACAGTTTGGAAAGAGATGAAGCTGAATCACCAGCTTAACATGACCAAAAACAACACATCCCAAAAGTGAGGAACCACCCAATCTGTCAGCTAGTTTTCCTATTCAATTGTAAATCAATCAAATTTAATTAATCAAATAGTTCGTGTATAAATAAAGCAAAAAAAAGAAAAATTTTAAAAATTGTTTGTATCAATTCGAGTTCTAGCTAAGACACCATGAATATCAGAAGTGGCTAAAAAAGCGTTTTGTCAAGAGTAAGAAGAACCTTCCAACAATGTTCTATAATTGTATGAGCATCAAAGATAAACCTAGCAAACTTGACTGGTCATAATATTAAACCAACTGAATTTCTTTGTGTAATTTTAATGTTCCTTATTACGCGAGAAAATTAATCAAATAATATTAATATTGGTAAAAAAATTTAACAAAAGATGGCGAATCTTTTTAGTCTCTTAACAAATCATTCTCAGTTGACAACGATAACTAAAATGGACAAGTCAATCGGCCAATATGTAATAATAATAATTATGTTTACAACTTTAGTGTAAATTTCTTCAATTAATGAGCAATAGTAAACTAATACTAATAAAGACAATCCCTGATTAATTAATTAATTAATAAACAAGTTGATGGTGGGTTGCTATTAGTTAAAAAACGGATCAAAGACTGGCTTATCGAATACAATAATTACTGATGGTAATAACGATGAGAATGAATCGAAAGAAGGATTAATTTTTAACTCAAGATTTCTTTTTAAAACAAAAATTCGTATTAAAAAGTCTCAACATTGGGGGCAAAGACTTCTTGGTTGAGGGTGAAGCTATTGTTGGTGAGCCTAGAATTAGAATTTCATCAATTATTTCTGGAGCAGTATGTAGGTTATGGAGAATTTTCACTTTGGAGTTGTGTTAAGGAATAATGGAACAGTAGGCATTCAAAAGCATTAGTTGCAGTTATTTTTACAGTATAAAATGATTTTTGTGGATCAATAAAATATTTGTCATTGTAGCTTGAATCATCATTGATATTGAGGGTAATTGAGAAAGTGACTGATTTCCTAAGCAAGGATGACTTTTCCAATTAATTCATCAATAATAATTTCTTTATGAAAAAAAAAAAATTTGAAAACTTTGTATTAATTAAATTAGAAATCAAAAGTCAACTTTTTAAATAGAATTACAAAAGCTAAAAATAACTACAAGGTAGAATATTAAGTGAGGGTTATTCATTCATAAGGCTAAATCTAATTCTTCCATTTGACCATTATCATCACCATCATCATCACCATCATCATCATCATCATCATCTGATACTTTCATTTGATATTCATCATCACCACCATCATCATCACCACCATCACCATCACCATCATCATCATCATCATCATCATCATCATCATCATCATCATCATCATCATCATCATCATCATTGCCATCATCATCATCATCAACATCAAGATCATCAGCATCAGCATCAGCATCAGCATCAGCATCAGCATCAGCATCAGCATCAGCATCAGCATCAGCATCAACATCAACATCAACAACATCAACATCACCTACATCACCTACATCATCATCATATTCATGATCATCTCCTCTTCTTCATCATAATAGTCATCACATTATGCTCATCTTCTGAATTGTAGGCTGCATAATGTTGACAAGTTGGTGCATGATAATGATTACCATCGTTACAAATATTTTCATAATCACCAAGACAACTGTCCTGGTTTAAAGATTTTTGTTTTTAGGAAAAGATTTTTATGAAAAGTTTCAAAGGACAATAGAACTGATCAAATACTTACAGCCAGCAAAATTCATAACCGCAGCGGCAACTCATTGGGTCAAACCCTATATCAAACCATGATTTTTGTTATGTAACCTATACTATATAGTTTGTGGGATTTATGCAGCAACAAATTGTTCAAGTACTGCGCCTATAAAAATTTGCATAAAATGAATAAAAATGATCACCTCTTCCATTTTATGAAGAGTTTCCTGTTGTTTAGATAGGAAATTCACAAATTTTACTGAAGATACAATATGTTATATAAAGATACAATATGGGGCATGTTGCAACAAAACCAGACAAAGTGAACATTGGTATTACCAAGAATTCCAGGGATCAAAATTTGTAATGTGGTTATTAAAAATCTCCCATTTGTTTGTTATCTTGTTATCCGCTTTTTCCTTAATATTAAGTGATATATAGAATTACTCCTATATAAAAATAATTAATATGAAGCTAATTTACATTAGGTCTACTATGAAACCCAAGAATTATAGTACAATCAGAAGTATTTTGAAGAAACAAGGTGAAAAAATTGCTCCTTATATTTTCAAAATAAATGATACTCAGAAACTTGAAGCTTATCTAAGAAAAGAAAGGATTACTCATGAATTTACCAAGAAGGAAAAAGAAGAATAAACATTAAGAAAGAAAACAGAATGAAGGTGTGTTATTACCCAACAAAAAGCAGAAATCCTTAGAAGAGAAATGAAATCCTATGATTAATTATTTCTTTTTCATTGGCGTTGGTCATTAAAAATAATAAACATCAATCATATATGCGGATTTTTAACTGTTATTTTGTGCGTAGCATTATAAAGAAAGTCATCGAACCTGCTAGAAAATTTTTATTCAGTAATAAGGTTTATTCAAACAACAATTAATGATGAAATATAGTCAGCTTTGATTTGTGATTATATTAATCGATCTAATAGGAATAAAGTTAGAATCCATTATAACAATTAACTTGCGTAATCTACACCCTTGTTTTCATTCGGATATTTTTACACATGTCAAGATGATGAGACTGCACTAACCATTTTATTATTGGAATAATTAATACCCAGTTGTGGGGCCAAATATATGTTTATTTTTCTACGGGCAATCTTTTATAGTTTTGGTATGGTATCAATTAAAGTTTCAATAGGAGATTTTTCTTTGACTGCGCAATTTACAAACAACATTTTGGTTATTATACACTATATCTTTGAGCGAGAAAAAAATCAAATCGGAATTAATTACTTATTCTCTACTACGAAGCACCATTATCCGTAACCCACGAATTGTGAAAATGAGGAAGAATAGGCGTACTGACCTGTCTAAGATAATTATTAAATTTTCAATTCTGGTTTTTTTTACTGTGTATTAATAGCGGAGCTAATCGTATAACAACTTTTTGGTTATATGGCACTATGTGCCTGTGCTACGCATATTCTATACTACAATATTTATTATAGCGGAAGAATATGAAACACATTTAATACCACCGGAAATATCTTTACCATCTCTCTTCCTGGATTGACGTCAAAAAAAAAGCTTAATCGTTTATATACAACAACAATACATCTTATTTATTCGTAAAAAAAGAGAAGATCCAGTGATCATATAATAATACACAACATTAGATTAAAATGCATTTGTGGGTTAATCCCTCTGCATAATCAGGTCCTTTATGGGCGACCCGACAAAAGTGAGTAATGGGGTGGCTGAAATTTCAGATTTCTTGGCATATAAAAACAAAGCTTGAAGTATAGGGGCAGTCATCGCCTTTCGAGGCAGGTCTAGGGGCCGATTGAACCCTCCCTTGCAAAGCTTTTTTTTATTAAGGGTGTGGTTGCCAGATTATCATTATCTTTTAGCGAGGAGAGGTAGATCCGACAAGCTACCCACTATACCACTGAGCTATTAGATGAGAAGTAATTTGTGTATATCCACCTTAGCAAAATTGGCATAGGCGGAATCCATATTTCTGGTTGATGTTAACATTAATCACTTTTTTTTTTAGCATAAAACACAAATAGAAACACGAAAATCTACCAAAGAAGAAACTATTAATTATATTCGGTCACAATGGGTTTCTGAGGATTTCGGTACCGAGGATCTTTGCATCTGGGTTTGCTTATATTCTTGATGACAGCTCGTTCTGATTTCCATTATATCTACTATTACCCACAATCCATGATGAGTAACCAAGAAAAAATTTGCCGATATCAGTAAGTCCTGATATAATAGCTTTATAGGTCTTTTTGATTCCAAGTTGGATTGCATCACATTTCTGCTAACATCGAATCTATTTCCGCGAGTTGGGTATCAAAAGGATTATAATGCTCTCTGTGCACTTCCTTCGAAAGATCGTTATTCTTAGGCTGAGATTTAGGTTCGGGTTCAGTATTAGTATCAGGATTGGTATCGGAATCAGAAGAAGTGTCACCCTCAGCATAATAAGTTCCAGAATCAAAACGGTCGATCTTATGTCTC